CGGTCCCGAGACAACTGGGGCTCTGCACCAGCAGATGGATAGAACAGCTTATCTTTAAACAAAGCATTGCTTTGCAGATGAGTGTTTTACAAGTACCCTTTCAATAATTTTTGAGATAATAGGAAGGTTGGTGTTGTCCAACAATTAGCTGGGTCAAGTAATGACTATTAGAACAATCATTTAATTACTGTAACCTTAAAGGCCTGTGGTACATAGACAATTCATAGAAAACATCAAAGAATGAATTAATGCAGATGCTGCTCTTTGGACAATCCCACTCTCAGGAATCCTGCCCATGTTGGTCACTTTAAACCACTTCAAGGTCAATTTGAATCACTCAACTGTAAATTGTAAACTTAGACTGTTATTGATCCTTTTTACCCTAATTTTAAAGTGTATATTTATTTTATATATTTATTTCTTATTCTTCTTGTATTTATTGTTGTTTTTTGCACTGAATGGAACTGCACTACATATAGCAGAGATGACAATAAAGTTTACTTTGACTTTGACTAATGGTTGAACTTCTTTCAACACTCTTGTAAGAATGGGGTCTAATGAATACATAATAAAGGAATAACTGAGGATAAAACGTCTACATAAATATTTGTAGTATTCAACACAGATATTGATGTCTGTGATTTGTTTATGAACCTTTATTTTTTTTCTCTAATGCTTAAAATGAGAGAATTTTAATTTTTACGTATTCCTTTAAAGCTTAAGGAATACTTTGCTAACAGAGCTGTGACTCTTTGTCAGACTGGCTACAGTGCTGAAAAGAAATCAGGAGTTCAGTATTTTCTTCAATAACTCATGAATAGTAAGAGCTTTATGGAGGGATTTTACAGAGCATCAAACTAAACAAAGTGCTTAAAAAGTTTTGAGATGCCATTTCCTAGGAATGTAAAACCATTGACAAGATAATTAACCTCTGTGGGAGTCACTCTGGGTTAAAGAAGACAACGGTGGAGGAATTTTATCCTTAATCTTAGTTACAGCTCATTCGGGAAGACTGCAATTAAATTATTAGTTACTGCTGTGTAAAGAGTTAGATAGGTTTTGCTACAATTGTGTTACAACAGATGTTAAAAGAAAAATTCAAAGGACATGTAATAAAACTATTACAAAACTAGATAATAAATAATCAAACCATGAGCCAGGTTCTCAAACTTCTGGGCCAGTTCTTTCATGGAGAGTTTGGTTTCAGTTTCTTCGTCAAGTTTGGACAGTTCTCTGAGTATTTTACAGCCACCAAGAGCACTCAGGACTGCCTCACCTGCCTGGAAAGGAAAGCAGCAAATTAT